TCTCCTGTCAGGGTACTCACTACGGTACAAGCCCTTGGTGTTGTTGTTGGCCATGTAAGGTGGTTATGTTCTCCTGTCAGGGTACTCACTACGGTACAAGCCCTAGGTGTTGTTGTTGCTGGCCATGTAAGGTGGTCATGTTCTCCTGTCAGGGTACTCACTACGGTACAAGCCCTAGGTGTTGTTGTTGCTGGCCATGTAAGGTAGTCATGTTCTCCTGTCAGGGTACTCACTACGGTACAAGCCCTAGGTGTTGTTGTTGCTGGCCATGTAAGGTGGTCATGTTCTCCTGTCAGGGTACTCACTACGGTACAAGCCCTAGGTGTTGTTGTTGCTGGCCATGTAAGGTGGTTATGTTCTCCTGTCGGGGTACTCACTACGGTACAAGCCCTAGGTGTTGTTGTTGCTGGCCATGTAAGGTGGTCATGTTCTCCTGTCAGGGTACTCACTACGGTACAAGCCCCCTTGTTGCTGGCCATGTTCTTGTGTACTGCTACGGTACAAGCCCTATGTTGCTGGCCATGTAAGGTGGTCATGTTCTCCTGTCAGGGTACTCACTCACGGTACAAGCCCTAGGTGTTGTTGTTGCTGGCCATGTAAGGTGGTCATGTCCTGTCAGGGTACTCACTACGGTACAAGCCCTAGGTGTTGTTGTTGCTGGCCATGTAAGGTGGTTATGTTCTCCTGTCAGGGTACTCACTACGGTACAAGCCCTAGGTGTTGTTGTTTCTGGCCATGTAAGGTGGTTATGTTCTCCTGTCAGGGTGCTCACTCACCACGGTACAAGCCCTAGGTGTTGTTGTTGCTGGCCATGTAAGGTGGTTATGTTCTCCTGTCAGGGTACTCACCACGGTACAAGCCCTTGGTGTTGTTGTTGTTGCTGGCCATGTAAGGTGGTCATGTTCTCCTGTCAGGGTACTCACACACGGTACAAGCCCCTAGGTGTTGTTGTTGCTGGCCATGTAAGGTGGTCATGTTCTCCTGTCAGGGTACTCACTATGGTACAAGCCCTAGGTGTTGTTGTTGCTGGCCATGTAAGGTGGTCATGTTCTCCTGTCAGGGTACTCACTACGGTACAAGCCCTTGGTGTTGTTGTTGCTGGCCATGTAAGGTGGTCATGTTCTCCTGTCAGGGTACTCACTACGGTACAAGCCCTAGGTGTTGTTGTTGCTGGCCATGTAAGGTGGTTATGTTCTCCTGTCAGGGTACTTACTACGGTACAAGCCCTAGGTGTTGTTGTGTTGTGGTTCTGAAACAGAAAACAACGTACTTGTAGCACCTTGTAGCAAGTAGCACCGTGTTTGCCTCCTTGGTGTTCACCACAGTGGTACTGCCCAGTGACATGTCCACGTATAAAGGTGTTCTGCCAGCCACAGCGATCCATCCCACCCACGATTACTGAGGCACCCCAAAATGATCGTTCTAACGTTAATGACATTCCCTCTACATGACACTCTGTTGTGTCAGTCAAGGAAGTCCAAAGCCCTTGATTCATATAAAAACGCTGCATGTCAAGGAAATGTTTAAATGAGTTTAAAACAACATCAGAACAATGTTTAGTCTGATTTCTATCACTCTACAGCTGCACACAGGCCCAATGTTTACATGCACAACCCGATTAACGCTTGCTCGAAATTCATAACATGGGAATGGAATCATCATTTTCTGAATCCATATAAAAAGATACCACTTGATGTACAACAAGAAGACAAAGTCATCAATATCCCCCGCAATGGCAAAATACTCTTCATGATTATGTCTACGAGTTATGATTATGTCAAATAGTTAGGTGTGTATATAGAAAAGTGGAAGGAGAATATTGAAAGGTTTTTAAAGTTCTGCTCCAGAAAGGAGCACTTTCACCAATTTCAGGCTAAGTCAAACTTTTGCCATGGAAATGCCAAAAGTATTTTATTCAGAAATCCAAAACTACCAAAAGGCACCAGTACACCACCAGATCTATGTATGTGCCAAGTTTGGTGAAGAAACATTGAACAGTTTTAGAGGTCTGCTCCGGAAAAGTGCACTACCACTAATTTCTGTGTTAGTCATATTTATTGCCATGGAAATGCCAAAAATATTTTATTCAGAATTTCAAAACTACCAAAAGGCACCAGTACACCACCAGATCTATCTATGTGCCAAGTTTGGTGAAGAAATATTGAACGGTTATAGAGTTCTGCTCCGGAAAAGGACGGCAGAACGAGTCCATTTTAAAATAAAAAATATCATCTCCCATGGAATATTCACTACATATTTTACTGGGATAAAACAACATGATTAACCTTTTCTACTAGTAGAAAAGCAAGATTTATGGATGTCAACTTTTATATTGTGAAGTTGACATCCATACATCTTGCTATGTATTCCACTTGGAAATGCCCTTCAAAGACTTGTCTACTAATGTTGGGGATTGGTTAAAATCTCATAATTGATGACTGGTCTGTTACAACCGATCAATCATCGCAAATAATTGGTTAGCGTCATTTATCAAATGTTCCTGTTATCTTTGTAAATGCACCTAAAAAAATGAAAAAAAACCCATGTCGTTCTTTGAGGGTTTATTTCAAAGTGCACAAAATGCATTTGCAAATGTCACATGAATAAAGGAGGACTAGTATAGCCCTGCATAGCATGTGCAGCCTGAGTCAACACACCGTCTGCACTTACATATTGTAGGACCAATTATATACACTTGCGTTTGTCTGTAATCACATAAAGGCAGCAACAGTGTAGGACCTATTTGAAATGTCATAGGTTCTGCTTAATCACTTTATGATAAGTGGTAGGACCATACTGCTTACATCACCAGGACATTTTACTTTGGAGTTAGAGACCGGGCATCGCCAGAAATATTTATCTTCCATAAGCAATGGATTTATCAGTAGCTATTGAAGCCTAGTAGAGAACTGCACTGGTGAGAGTTGTGGGGTATGAACCCTGAGGTCCACCACGTAGTACATGTCAGCATTTGGAATCTGGAGCATCGGTAACATGAGGAACACCAAGCTGCGGTAGGTGGCGATCACATCAGTCAAACAGAGGCGTTCGGGCATACATAATGTGTACACCTCCGAGGGCCATTATTGTACCATATAAAGTCAACAAGCCTTGTCATTTCACTATCAAACATCTAATATAGTCAGTTTAAGTCAGTACCGTACATATTTAATATGGGCCACAACGTCGCCACTATAATGCAGCAATATTACGAATGGTTAAATATTCAAACATTTTACAGAAGAATGACGCCATCTTATATATCAGTATTTAAACATCTGTCGTAACTACCTTCAAAATGGTTTTCGTGAAACGATATTACCTTTGCAAACAGACATGTATCTAAAAAAATTATATATTGCATGATATAATTTAGGTAAAAGCCATTTAATGCTATGTTCCTGGCCTGTATTGATGGTTGTGTCTTACATCCACGACATCAGTTAACATCAGTGTTCATATTCTAGAGATTTGGTACTTGATAACCCACAACTGATCAAATAGCCATCACTAACTCAGGGATTTACAGGACGCGGATTCCTGCGTCCTATACACATACAAATTGACAATGGAAGCAACAAAATTTATTAATGCGTCCACAGGGACTCAGAAAAAGTCCAAATATTCTTTGTAAAAATTCCAATCAAGAGACAATAAGTTATCACAAAGTTTGCTACTAGCTGGGTTATGGTATAACTTGCAATTAAATTACAGTAACAATTAATGTGATGATCATGATACACAATACAAAAACAGTATTAATAATAATATTTTAGTGTCTGGGACCCCCATGTTTTGTCCAGGACCCTTGAAAATTAAGAGTATGAGTCGCAGGGACCCTCAAATACAGGACTCGAGGTAAATCCCTGCTAAAACATTTCAGTTTGGGTTGGTTTGGTTGGTTTGTTGTTATAACACCGCATTCAGCAATATTCTCAATATTCAAGCAAATTGGCGGTTGTCTTTAAATCATTCAATCTGGACCAGACAATCCAGTGATCAACAGCATGAGCATTGATCTACTCAATTGGTATATGACATGTGTCAACCTAGTCAGTGAGCCTGACCACCCAATCCCGTTAGTCACATCTTACGACAAGCATGGGTTACTAAAGATCAATTCTAACCCTGATCTTCACGGTTATTTCAGTTTGGGATAACATAGCATTTCTATGGCGAAAGATGACCTGGCAAATACTTGACACCCAGTCTTAAAGGAATGTAGACTATTTACCACTTCCATCTCACTGATAGTAGAATAATCGTCTTATACAGCTATTTCCACATTGCCACGAATAGAATAGCAAAGATAATAAGAAGCTATTTCAATGTAGTGAAAACAGTTAATGAAAATTATTTGCACACACCGAAACTGCCCCAGATGACATAAAACATTGTCCAGTCAAAAAACATTATTCAGTACCTACTGTCCATTATAAATTCTTTGGAAAGCAAACACCTTTTTCTAAAGTGCAGTGCAGTGTGCGCACACAACCAGATTTCAGGGGATCTGTTGACCACGCAACACCATGAACTCACCAATCCTCTCCTACCAGTGGCCACATGATTTGCTATTCCTTGTAACAAGCAACCCTGAAGGACATATATGCAACTTTACATCAGCCCAAATAAAGACTCATTTGATTAGCTAAGATAATAACCAGTATATGTCTGTCACACCTGCTGTAATGCTTAGGTCCTTGATACAGTCATATGACCCCAGCCAGTGTCCTCTCCAGGGTTTCAGGCCATGCGCAACAGTTTGATAACAAGTGGTCCAATAGTTCACCTAATGCTTTAATCGATGACATTATTACCACGCTCTGTATATCATTCAATCCGGACGCAGCAAGTTCTGATAGCAATCCCATAGCATGTGTCTGTATTACAGGTCCTTGGCCATCCTTGTCTGCCTCATGCTGCTGTTATGGATTTCACTCAACACATCACTCTTCGTTCAAAACCAGCAAATCGACAGAAATAAATGTACACCTCCATACACACCCAAGTCCAGATCGAGGGACTCCTGTGCTGTGGTCACTAACATCGCTTTTCTGAAGGTGCACAAGGCCGGGAGTTCCACGGTGGCCAACATCATACAGCGTTTTGGAATCCAAAGAAACCTCTCTTTCGTTGTACCCCTGAAACCATTCCACGGGTTAAGCTACAACTACATCGGTGGCGCTAGAGACACCATTAGCAGGGACAACATCATGCCGCCACCACCACCAGGCACAGTGTACAACGTCTTGTGGAACCATGTCGTTTACAATCGAAGTGCCTTCAAGAACGTCATGCCGGCACACACCAGATACATTTCCATCGTCAGATATCCACTGGATCAGTTCGTTTCTGCTTTTGAATATTATGGCCCTGGCAAGAACCTCATCAATAGGTTCTATGAAATGGAAGAACATCAATCTATTGTCGATGCTTATCTCAATAATCCTTGGGATTTTGAAGACAAAGATGTGGTTACGAGTCATACACTCAATTCTCTGGCATACGACTTTGGTTTCACAAAAAGAAATGATTCAGAACAAAAGGACCCGTTCTCTCTACCTTAAACAGTTGGCTGAAGACTTCATGTTGGTCATGGTAATGGAATATTTCGATGAGTCCTTGGTGCTTCTGAAGCGCTACTTTTGTTGGAGCATAAAAGATGTTTTGTATTCACCTAAAAACAAGAATTCACGTAAGAAAAGGCTTACATTCACTAACAAATATCGTGAACGTCATCATCAGATTGCAGAGGTAGATTACGAAATATACGCTTCACTTTCACTCTATTTTCTGGAGAAAGGTTTGGCTGGAGGGGCCATCATTTCACTCAGAAGTGGCACACTTCAAACACCTTAACTCTGTCGTTGCTGATCACTGCCTCCTAAACAAAACACTCCAAGTGGATGCAAGTCCCTGGACTGAATCCTTCACGGTAGACTGGGCATATTGTCACTACATAAACAGTTCTGAACTCGACCTGTATGACATCATTTACAACCGTACTGTGGCCAAGACAAAGCAGTACTCTAAGCAGTAAGATGCTGTTACATATATTTGTGTGTCCTTGTCATCTACCTTTACTGGTTTGTACTGTACAAGTACTTTAGTGTCTCATTCATGGAACAAATACGGTCATCCACACATTCAATTTATGCAATAATAAAGGTCACATGCAAAAAAAAAATCAAACAAAATTAAAACACAATTATCACTTCTTCATGACATATAATATACATTGCTGATTATGACAAAAAATATAAACAAAATTATAAGCGTACAATCGCAAATCAAAAGTGCAATATTTTGTACTTGGGTTTACTTCCCAAGAAACGAAGCAGCCAGGATTCCGAACCCAGTCAGAGCGGGTGGGTGTGCACTCAAGTGTAACGGCTGGTTCTTTGCAGATGTCCTCACGGCTCAATGTGTGTGTATATACAGAGATGTTGGGTTTTGTAAATACATGCTCATATTTTGTGTATAACATTTTGCAATCAACAGACATCATAACATGTCATGTGTACAAGTATCACACCTGCCTCTCTGTGTAATTAATGTGACAGAGACCGAACTCGGGCCATAAATCAATGCGTTTTGTTTATGGTGTATAGCCTGATAGGTGTTAAGTTCAAATTGCATGTGGTCAGTGATCACAGTTGTGTATTGAATATTGTCATTAGCAGACAGCCAGGCAGACACATAGGTGTCAATAAAACCGACATTGTCTGGACAACAACATATCTATATCACAGTTAGAAATTCTGTCAACGCTAAATATTGACATTGCTTTTAAGAATCGACTGAGAAAGTGACTCGGTAAGAAGAAAGTGTGGTGAAAAAGACAAATGAAATTATATAAACAGTTAAATCGGTAATCTACTGTCATAACATATAAAAAGCTCGCGCCTGTGAAATATCAACAAAACATTAGAAAAATAGCTCACACCAAAGCCTTCACCGAGTATTCACCGGACAACCCGCTTCCAAGCTGCGCGAACATGTTTCACTGTGCATGTGCTATGAGCGCAGCCCAGCTGTTGAAACCACTTTTACCCCAAGCACTGAGGTAAAATTAGTGAATGATTTGAACTCCGATTTCGCGCAGTTTGTTTCATCGCGTTATTTTTCAACTTTATAAGTTGAATTTGCATTTTTTGATGATTTGTTTCGGTAAGTCCATACCGAAAGGTGTCAGAATCTGCAAAGTTGTGTTTTACGTTGCATGTGACCTTTAAGGGAGTTATCACTATTAAATGGTTAAATAAACTTGTCAACAGTCTTATTGTCATGTGCTGATTCCCTTTCTGAAAGAAAAGTTACCGGAAATCAGTCCGTAAAAGAAGTATGAATGACACCAACAATGAAATGTCACATAATTAACACTTGCATTCTAAATGTTACTTAGTTTACCAATCACAGAAAGGAATTATGATTGCATAGCAAGATAGAGTGACATTACAGAATCGATGGCAGTACATATCTACACCTGGAATCACAGTTAAGCTAAATATGTTAGATACAGTCAGTGTATGTTGATAATATTCATCTCAGAAATTATTGTAAGTGAAGTTGGTCGAAAGTGTCAAACGCACCCTGTCTAACAAATGTTATATTTGTAATTACACTTTCTTCGGTGGCGGATCCAGAGGGGTGGTTCAGAGGGTTCGAAACGCACGCACGCACGCACACACACACAAAATGACTAAAGACCACATTGAAGTCAATGTTTTGCAATGGACTTTGTGTGCTGGCGATTAGGTGCTTGTGAACATCTGAGTGGCTGCCTCCAAGCTGTGGCCAGCATGTTGGTGCCTACAAGTATTCTTGGTGTCCACCTCCAAGTGGATTTGCTTTTGATATGAGCATTGTTACCTGTTCATTCCGAGGCTGAAATTCTGAAGTTGACCAAGCATCAGTCTGTTAGAGAACTTGGTGTGAAACTAAGTTTAGAAATGAATACAGTACAAGGTAATACAGTGGCAGTACCAGTTCGAAGGCATAAAACACAAGCAGTCAGTACAGCAGTAGGTCACAGAATGAATGTGGAGTCACCGGACACAAGCAGTCAGTACAGCAGTAGGTCACAGAATGAATGTGGAGTCACCGGACACAAGCAGTCAGTACAGCAGTAGGTCACAGAATGAATGTGGAGTCACCACACACAAGCAGTCAGTACAGCAGTAGGTCACAGAATGAATGTGGAGTCACCGGACACAAGCAGTCAGTACAGCAGTAGGTCACAGAATGAATGTGGAGTCACCGGACACAAGCAGTCAGTACAGCAGTAGGTCACAGAATGAATGTGGAGTCACCGGACACAAGCAGTCAGTACAGCAGTAGGTCACAGAATGAATGTGGAGTCACCGGACACAAGCAGTCAGTACAGCAGTAGGTCACAGAATGAATGTGGAGTCACCGGACACAAGCAGTCAGTACACAGCAGTAGGTCACAGAATGAATGTGGAGTCACCACACACAAGCAGTCAGTACAGCAGTAGGTCACAGAATGAATGTGGAGTCACCGGACACAAGCAGTCAGTACAGCAGTAGGTCACAGAATGAATGTGGAGTGACACAAGCAGTCAGTACAGCAGAGTCACAGAATGAATGTGGAGTCACCGGACACAAGCAGTCAGTACAGCAGTAGGTCACAGAATGAATGTGGAGTCACCACACACAAGCAGTCAGTAGGTCACAGTCACCGGACACAGTCAGTCAGTACAGCAGTAGGTCACAGAATGAATGTGGAGTCACCACACACAAGCAGTCAGTACAGCAGTAGGTCACAGAATGAATGTGGAGTCACCGGACACAAGCAGTCAGTACAGCAGTAGGTCACAGAATGAATGTGGAGTCACAGTAGGTCACAGAATGAATGTGGAGACACAAGCAGTCAGTACAGCAGTAGGTCACAGAATGAATGTGGAGTCACCACACACAAGCAGTCAGTACAGCAGTAGAGCAGTAGGTCACAGAATGAATGTGGAGTCACCGGACACAAGCAGTCAGTACAGCAGTAGGTCACAGAATGAATGTGGAGTCATGTGGAGTCACACACAAGCAGTCAGTACAGCAGTAGGTCACAGAATGAATGTGGAGTCACCACACACAAGCAGCAGTACAGCAGTACAGCAGTACAGCAGTGAGGTCACAGAATGAATGTGGAGTCACCGGACACAAGCAGTCAGTACAGCAGTAGGTCACAGAATGAATGTGGAGTCACCGGACACAAGCAGTCAGTACAGCAGTAGGTCACAGAATGAATGTGGAGTCACCGGACACAAGCAGTCAGTACAGCAGTAGGTCACAGAATGAATGTGGAGTCACACAGAATGAATGTGGAGTCACACACAAGCAGTCAGTACAGCAGTAGGTCACAGAATGAATGTGGAGTCACCACACACAAGCAGTCAGTACAGCAGTAGGTCACAGAATGAATGTGGAGTCACCACACACAAGCAGTCAGTACAGCAGTAGGTCACAGAATGAATGTGGAGTCACCGGACACAAGCAGTCAGTACAGCAGTAGGTCACAGAATGAATGTGGAGTCACCACACACAAGCATTCAGCTTAGTTGAGTAGGCATGGTGGCTATAGACACAAACGTATATATATATATTGCAGGCCCAGCGTGTGCTACACATAGACTAAGTAATTTCATTGATATTTTATTGAAACCAATCTCATCAAATGTTAAAAGTTTTACTCGTGACACCATGCATTTCCTTTCCTCTTTACCACAAAACGTTAATGAAACAAGCAAACTTGTAACTTTTGATGTAAAAAATTTGTATTCAAATATCCCACATAGCCTAGGAATTAAAGCGTTGGATTATTGGTTAAACCGTTGTGAAGAACACATACCTGAGCGAATTTCAAAATCATTCATTTTGGAAAGCGTTGAATTCATCTTAAAAAACAATATTTTCTTTTTTGACGATAAGTACTATAAACAGATTAAAAGAACAACTTATGCGACGCTTGTCTTAGGATATCTGGAGGAAAAGTTCAAGCATAAAATCAGTCAAATTCTTGGAGAGGATGTTGCCCATTATTTCATGGTAAATTGGAAAAGATTTCTAGACGACTGCTTCATAATTTGGCCATTTTCTGAGGAGAAACTAAATACATTTTACGAACTATTAAATAGCATGGATGAAAATCTTGTTTTCACTATGGAGGCAGATGAAACTAAAACAGCTTTCTTAGACACAATGGTCATCAAATCGGGGCGGAAATTGGACACAGATATCTTCTACAAACCTACAGATACGAAACAATATTTAAACTTCAAATCTTGTCATCCGAGCCACACCAAAAGAAGTCTTCCATATAACCTGGCACGAAGAATATGTACAATAGTTTCAAACCAAGACACCTGCAATCAAAGACTGAATGAACTTAGAACGTTTTTACTATTACGGGAATATCCAAAATCTCTGTTGAAGACGGAATATATAAAGCTTTACAGCTTAATAGAGACGATCTTTTGACAGGAACGATGAAACAAACCAATGAGGAAAAAGTAATTGCTTTTGTATCTACTTATAATCCGTTGAACCCAAATGTGTTCCAGAACATAAAAACAAATATGTGCATCTTAGAACAAGATGAAAAACTGAAATCAATGCTGAAATCTAGAAAAATAATAAATAGCAAAAGACAA